CTATTAACCAATTAAAATTACGCCCCAAAACCCCTCAAAAAGTTCAATATCCATACATTATTGGACCGTTTGAGCAACTGCCAAGTACAATAATGCTTTAATATTAAATCATCATCATTGTCAAAGCTTTTTTCCAACTAATTAGGGAATATTGTAATACTGAATAATAACCAATAACATTTGGATCAAATATTTCAATTATTCTCGTGTTTGTATTGCCAAACTGAAAGGGATACATATGGTAAAAACAAAATTTTTATATTCCAACCGAATTCTACTTCAATATTCCATTTTGATAACCAATTTTTGCCAGAACTATGGATTTTATTATATATAATAATTCTATATAATTACAGTAATAATATATTATAACTATAAGTTATTATATATTACTATATATAAGTAATTTGTATATTATAATAGATGTATAATATTTTAATATATAATATGATATTATAATATACAATTAATATATATTATATGCAATAATTAATATATGTAATATTATATTATTACACAGTAATATAATATAATATTATATTATTTCAGGGAGACACGTCTTCCAACTAATCCATACAATAGATATGCATCTTGCAGATCTCTTACCAAATGCTATTCAAATAATAGACACATATGCTATTCCAGGATACCCATTTCCATTGTGAAGTCTCTAGAAGGCTTCATTAAAAGAGCTCCTAGTTCTATATGGATGTGTTTGTTTTGTGGAAAAGGGGTGCCACCTTGAAAGCCACCACTCTATTGGCTAGCATGGAAACATCAATTTCCAAAATATAACATCCCATTTTCTATGTAATAAATATGAGAAGTGCTACCATTGTGGAATCGTGGCTTTTACAAAACAAACATGCCCTAAGAGATTTCCAGCTCCTTTGAATAGAGGAGAAAACCTCTAGATCTAGTGTCGTCCTTCAAAACTTCAAAATTCTAAGTACTAGATTCTTTGGTTTTAGTTTTGAATTTTGTTTGACTTTCTTTCTTTTTTTCTTTTTTTTTTCTTTTTTTTTCTTTTTTTTAATTAAGAATTTCTTTTTATTTTTTGTTTTTCTTTCTTTTAGTTTAGTTTGTAATTTTTGTTTTAGTTTACAATTTCTAGATTTTTTTTTTATGTTAATTTAGACTCTTACTTGTAATATTCTATTTTGCATTAAAAGTTTAAATTTGCTAGTCTTTATTTTTTATTTACAAAAATATAAAACATCAAATTTCTTTATTATATTCTTTGATAAACTTATTTCATTTTGATAAAAAATAATTTTTAATAAAGCAGTAGTTTTCTTGAACATAAAAATTAGTAAGCGTTTTCTTTTTTGAAATAGTACATCTTGTAACGAATTATTTAGATTGTCCATTTTCAAGTTTTTAAATATTCATAGATCTCCAAAATCCCCAAAATGGACAATCTAGATACATACCAAATAGGTAGATCTTGAAAATGGACAACCGATATAATTCGTCTTGAATGTTTTGCAAATTACTTTCTCTCTCATCAACAAAAATCAATTTCACATATTTGTTACGTATGCAAAAAAAAAATTAAATTCAAAATAAGTGTTCCTATAAAAAAATTAACCAATATATTTTTATATATTTTGATGAAATTATGTAAGACGTATAAATATCGGAGTTAGGTCCCTGAGTACCACATAGTCATTTCACAGTTCGAAATATATTAAATCTGAATAGTTATGTGCATGTGATTGATCAAATGTCAATATTTTATTCAAATGAGTTGACACATACTATCTAAAAACCAAACCGAACGACATGGTGGCTCATCAAAATCCTGATAGTTAGAGCTCCAAACATCACGCAATTGGTTTAGAAAAAACAATGCAAAAACAAGTACCGATTCTAATCCTTCTACATCACAATCCCCGAGAAATTGCTGATTGAATCTCCAAAAAACTTTCAAATCTTAGAAAATTTTAACATAAAATGTAAACCAAGCCAAAAATTAAAATAAGTATAAATATCATTTTGAAAAATTAGAAACATGGTTTAAATCGATCTCACTCCCTTCTAGATCAAACACAAAGAAATGTTTGCTTTAAACTCCAAAAACTTTTAGATTAGAGAAATGGCTTTTAGGAAAAATCTATACCGAGCCTTAAATCGATCCTAACCCCTACATTTGGGGAATTCAGGCGTTTCAAATCAAAACAAATATAAGGGTTCAAAATCATTGAAAGAGTTATCCAATCCAACAAAAATTCCTAAATCTGCACACGCTTTGCGGACTGATACATCTAATCAACAAAGCCATGGGAGCACATGGCTTACAGAGAACACCAAAACATCAAGCAATTAAGCCAAGGTTCCAAACAACTGCTCAGTTGTGAAAAGCTTGTGCCATTTGCCCAAGAAAAGAAAAGCTTGTGCCACTAGACCATAACAGTATTAGAGGTATAACAACTTTGATCAGCTTTAACACCATGAACACGAAGTGATTTGGTGAACATGATATCAGTTGGTATCTTGGCGAGCTTGCAACTATGCTGTAATGTCGAAGGGCTAGGGTCGGGATCATAAAAAACTAGATGCACACTAGGTAGAACAAGTATTTTGCTCTCATAAAAATCAGGATCTAGTTTTATTGGGATGGATCCTGACCTTGTTGCAGCCTCATATATTGCAGTGAATGGATGTATATAATCTGGAAAAGAAAAAACAGATAAATAAATTAGAGTTCTCTATCATGGTTCATATGTGGAATGGATTGTTCCTGGAGTTCTCTACCCACCTAATAAATTCTTTGGCTTGTAATCTACCAGCAGTTGCTGCAAGCAATAAGGGGTTTTTTTGACCGTTCAGTTGGAATTAACGATAATATGAGGTACTTCTACTATTTAGTTGAGAGAAAACTATGTATTGACTAATTCATTTTAAAATACCTAACTGAGAAGTAATAATTAGTAACAAAATATGCACCTATGCACTCCTCAAGCCCATTGAAAATATATTTAAATCATGATTAAACGAAGCACATCCAATTGAAGTTAGAAATTAATATAACAAAAAAAGGATTTTAAAGAATCAATTGTGCCTAGGGGTATTTTTGAATTTTTTAAAAAATGGGAAACATGTAAAAATAAGTATTAATGGCCAAAATTATTTCCAGTCTTTGCAAAAATGATGAAAAAAAATTAAAAAAATATATTACAAGCAAAATTCATTGTTTCTTTTGGGATTATATATATATTTTTTTATTTTTTTAAAATACCTTGCTGGTTCTGATCTAACGAGACTGCTCTGATTTGAACCACCTGATTTTTCCTATACTTATTGAAACTAATAAATATAAATTGGTGGTCAATCATGTATGGTGGAAGGTGATTCCTTAAAGGGTTTGGTTTGCATAGTGCCGAGGTTCTAAACAATCAAAATAAAATGCGCCTTCAAATAGTATTGAGAAATGTTGTTTCAATATTGGAAATCTTTATGATAGCTTTAAAATATATTTTCGTCTTTAATTATCAAACTTAAAGCTTCAAAAATAGTGTAGATCAAGCAAATCTATGAAAACTTCAAAATATTGAAAATTGACAGTCCAAAAATGTATTACAAGGTGGACTATTTCCAAAATTTGAAATCTATTTTTTTTCTCGTGTCCATACACATTGAGGTCGAGATGATCAATTTGAGGATATTTGTGCATCAAAACAACATTTTTTAGTGAAATTTTGACGTGCGTTCTAATTTGATTGTTTAGAGCCACAAACTTATATAAACTTTTCCTTCCTTAAGTACTATTAATTGGTGCAAGAATTGGTGCAAGAAGCAGCATTGGGTGCCATGACAATTGCGACCCTGTTGGTTGCAAATTATAGATTTTGGCAAATTTGTTGAGTATCTTTCTTTCATGTCTATATGGTAGGGAAGCTAATAAATTGGTTGATACGTTGGCTAGAAAGGGTGCTTCACTCTCTTACTTGGTGGTGTTTGATAATGTAATATCTTTGTTGTGATCCGATAATAGTAATCTTTTGATATATCAATAAAAGTCTTGAATATTGTCAAAACAGAAAAAGAAAAATAAAATCAAAACTTATATAAAAGGTTTCAAAAGCCTCTAACAAATCAAAACAAATTCAGATAAATAATAAGTTAAAAGTTAAAAACAATATCCTTTGTATCAGTTTTTGAATTTTTCAATAATAACACCAACATAGGAAAAAGTACTACATATAAGTAAAGTACAACAAATATTTCTATTATACTTGACTAGTTCTTCCAGTAACCAGAATTGAACTAATAAATTATCTCTCTAAGAGAAAATACACATTAGAAGCAAGAACTGCATACCTCAATCTAACATATTAAAATTTAATATTGGTTTATAAGTAGTTCAATTTAACTTAAGATATTTGAATATTATCCTTTTGATTGAGATTGTGTGATCTAAGTACTTGAATTGGTGTGAAAAAATTTGAACTTTTTATATCAGATACTTCTGCATTTCAAAGTGGATCCGAAAGTCTCAATTTGGAAAAATCTTCCAAGTATTTCTTTTACTCTAAGGATTAATCTCTGAAGAAGCACTTTTTTCTTTTAAGAAAAATATGAAAAAAGACTCTTTACTTTTAATACAAAGAAGTCACCTTCACTTTTATCTTTTTTTAAATCGGCTAGTTGTGAATATGTCATTTAGTAGAATCAAAGTTTAAATAAATTTGTGACATTCACGAGAGTCAAAAGTTCAAAAAAATTTATTTTCGAACCCTACGACACACCCCTAGCCATTTAATTGGACTTTTGATACAAGCCATTTAATTTGATATTTAATAATGAGCAGCATATAAAAAGATTAATAGTCTTATATACACAACCCTTTTTTTTTTTCATGGGAATAACCTCTAAAGCAACTCTTTATCCTAAGGAAATACATACAGTATGCTCTACATATACGCGCTCTGTCAATTATGCGGGATAATCGCTACCATCCTTTTGCCTTTTCTTATTAGTACGATAATTACACACCTTGAAAAGCGACTTTGGCCGTCAAATATATCCATCGCAGATTTGCAATAAATTCACGTACCCTCTCTTTCTCTCTCTAAATTCCCTTCTTAATTCTCTCTCTCACTCTCTTCACTCCTTAAACCTCATCTCTCTGATTAATCAAGCGTGAGATGATCGAGCTTCTTCACAATGGTATTGTACCATGTCCTCAGCCTTCCCTTACTCTTTGAATTCATTATCACTGTTTCACTAAAATCATTGTTCTCTTTTTATAGGGAGAAGCAGAGGATGAATTCGAACCCTTGTTTGATTACAGTCGTGTTCAACCCCTTACTTTCGTCGATCTTGAAGGTACTCAATGTTTGTGTATCGATTCTAATTTATTCTATCCTTTAGGGTTTTTTTGTTTAATTTTTGGTGGTGTTATAGATGTTTCAGATTCACCTCCATTTACCATGTCAAAGAAAAAGAAGCCCACTAAGCCCTCCAATCCCGCTGTAAGTCAAAAATAGTTTTAAAGAAATTATATTGTTTCTTTTTTATAATGTTGAGTTTATGTTGGGTACCTTGGTTTAATAGTTTGAATGTTGTGTTGTTGGTAAATTTTGTAAGCTCTATGTAATTTAGCCAGCTTTTCTTCACTGAATATGTGATAATTCTTGGGGGTAAATAATTAAAGGTTATATTTTGATTGATTATAGTTGTTTGTTGATAAACAGGAGACAACGAAAAAAGTAGAAGTGGTTACTCTTGATGGTGAAGAAGAGGAAGATTGGTTAGCCCCACCTCCAAAAAGTCCAAATACAAAACACAATTTTGATGGGGACTCTCTCTTAATGGAGTTAAGGTATGTGTTACTAAGCCATGTGCTGATTTGTTTTTCAAGTTATTTATGTTACTTTTTATAATTAAAATTTTGATGTAATTTGTTTTTTTTGGGTAACTCAATGGGGATAACGAGCCCCTACTCGTTTTCTAAATTATTGGTGGTTTTTGAAGGTGTTGGGTGAGAATGCAAGCCTAGACCTTAGCTGGGGCGCTACCCCCACAACCCCAACCCCATTCTCAAATTTTGATGTAAACACTATGCATATACGTAACTTTTTAAGAATTATTGAGGGAGCAAAATATATGGATACCACTGTGTATATGTGTCTAGAATCTTATTTTTGGTGGAAAAATCTAGTGTGTTTAGGGTCAGTAGTGCAAACAATTAGCTGTACAAGGTCTGCCTGTTTGCAAATAGTAACCTTGAGCCCTTTTTCATTTGGGTTCTTAAATTGACATTCCCTTGTTAGAATTTGTTTGAGAACACTGGAATCATGTCTTTGGAGTTAGAAAGTTTAATACTTTAATTAATAATATAGATTTCTGTTTATCTTTTCTTATGGGCAAGAAATCTAGGCTTAAGCATGGGTTCTTACCAGTACAATAATTTACATGTAGGACTACAGGTTTTGAAAAACTTGCTTCACCCATCTTCCCAAACTCTAACTAAAGGTGACTTAACCATTCATCTTAGAAGAACCTGATTGATATGTCTCGAATGGGAAGGTTTTAAAGTCTGTAGGAGTTATTACATTACGTTTTGCTTCTATGTTCATCTTGAATGTTATAGCCTGCTCTTGCTTGCCATTTCTAAGAACTATAAATGATCAAGGTTTTCTTTCAAATGATTGAGTTCAAGCCAGTATTAAATAAACTCAAACTTGTTTATGGCAAAAATGCGTGACCTCTCAGAGCTGAATACTGAACTCTGAAAAACTTGGTGATCCTTTTGAATTTTCATGTGAAGTGTTCTAAAAAAAATTTAGAAGATTTGTCATGGGAATCGAACCCAACTCGTGAAATAAAGCGTATTACAGCGCTACGACTTTGAAACAACACCTTGTATTTCTCAAATTAAAACTAGAACATTTTATGACAAATTCTTGGATACATTCTGAATGTTTCATTTATAAAACTTGGCCGCCTTGTGATTTGAGTTAATTTGGCTGAGTTTTCCAACTTGACTTGAGTTTTCAACTTGACTCGAGTGTTTTCATCCCTACTTTGGGCGTTTGTCTTGTGTCGAAAGATCTCTTGGTAGGCATGAGTGCTCGTTGTTCTCATCATCTTTCATTGGGAACATTTGTGAAAGTATTGGGAATGTTTCATTTTCACAAATTCGATTCCTTTTTACCCTGCCTTTATATTCTCCAGTCAAGCCTGAATGGAGCCTCTACAAATATTGAGGAATTTGTTTTACGTTCCCAAAAGCTGCCATAAATTTTTTGACATGATCAATTTCATCTCCTTAGATGATCTGCAGGCTTTTATAGAGGTGTAAGTTTAGCCAAAAGCTTGTAAAGTTGTAATGAAATAGCTATGTTGTCTTGTTGTTGATACTAAACAGCATTTTGTAGATTATTGTTTAGAACTTGTTGCTGGTACATCCAACTGATAAATATTTGGGCCTTCCCGGTGCACATATGTGTTTGTATAAAACCTCATTGATAAGAATGTCGTATATATAGTTCAACTTAAAATTAGTGCATGCACTAGCCAGCTTTTCTCTTTGAATATTTGTATTTTTTCTGCATGGATACAAATAGTAATCTCTATTTATTTAATCTAATGTCCTTGCGTCACGCCCATGTAAATTAGAGGTTGAGTTTATTTTTTGGAGCAAGATGGATGCATGAATGGCAAGGCTAGTTCTATTAATTGTAGTCCAAATTAAAATTAATGCATTTCTCTTTGAATATGTGCATTTCTTCTGCATGGATACAAATAGTAATCTCTATTTTATTTAATCAAATGTACTTGCGTCACACTGATATAAATTAGAGGTTGAGTTCATTTTTTGGAACAGGATGGATGCATGAATGGCAAGAGTAGTTCTATTTAGGGGAATCATGGTATGATATGGGCGCAATAGTATTAGGAACCATTTACCACTAAAGGACCCTAAGGGATAGAAACATTAATTGTGGGATACTTTAACCTTGATGGTTTTTCTTAGAGAGAAGCACATATTTCTTATTGCTGTCTTTCTTAGAGCTTCTTTGTATGCAGCAAAATCCACTAGATTTTTGGTTGGACAGCAAAAAAGCTCATTTGAAATGTTTAATACATTTGGACATCCAAAGTTTTTGATAGACATTGAAGAAACTTGACCAAGGGGGTTAAAAATTCTGTTCAGATAGATTGGAGGATAAGTCAAATTTTTCTAGAGAAGACTTTTTTGGCTCCTTGCCAGCCTCCAATTGGACCAATATCTTCTTGATTGGGGGAACTTAATTCAGGTTAGAACCAACGCTCTTAGAGACCTCTCTTATTGGATGATTCTACCCCCAGAGAGACAACATCAGATGAATCAAATTGTGGGCCCAAAGGAATTGGAGCTCCAAGGAGAAAATTTGCAGAGAACCTCGAGGAGGGAATTACCTTCTCTCTTTCCCAGACAAGGACTTAACCCTTAAAGACCTAACCAATTCCAATCTATCCTTCAAAGGGGCGTGTCTTCACCTCAAATGGTGGATTGTCCAGGTTGTCCCAGCCCACACAGGGCACCAAAGGACTTTTGAATGCATATGAAACAACTTTGAGGATTTTAATAGAATAAATTGGCAATCCTTCAACTGGCACCCGTAGGTTCCATTTGAGGTGATATAAAGTCTAGTGTGCTCTCGGTACAACTCTTGTACTTGGAACTTCAACAAAATATTTTAGATTCAAGACTTGAAGATACAAATCCAAGCTCTCTTAGCTCACTGTTACACCCTCAAACTTCAGTAACAAAGACTCAAATATCACTTGAAAATGACTCAAACTTCAGTGACAAAGACTCAAACTTCAGTAACAAAGACTCAAATATCACTTTGCACTGGGATTCAAAATGTTACTATGTACATAGACTAATGCATGGACAGCACATACAATTTCTCCATCAACTTATACATCATAGGACCGCATTACATCTCATTCTCCATGGCATAAAACATCCACAAACCACATATTTAAAAAAAAAAATCACAAACTGAAATTTACAGTAAAATGAGTGCTAATTATGCAAAAGAAGCCAAAGGTCAAACCCTTTGTGCCCGGATCACATGCGAATCTTTTAAGGACTTAATTTTATCTCGTAGATGATAGCACGTATGACTCAAGTCACACGGGCTAATCTCACTTACATAAAGGGAAGCTTTTACTCACTAATCTACCACTTGATTATGCTCAAAACGAGAGAGATGAACTTTTGAAGATGAAAACAGTGTAGTGAAGCCAAGTGCAAACAGCTTACATAGAACACATGATATGACCATGGTGTAGTGTAGAATGGTGCAATTTCTCAAACAATTTGCTCAAGAACTAGACTCTAGATAAATGGTACACAAATGGGCATGAAATGTTCATTTATTCACATTAAAAAGATGCTAAAAAATCTCAGAAAAGTCACGTGCTTGAATAATGGATAAAATGGTGTCTAATGAATGGATCTAAGGGCTAGACTATACATACCAAGTAACAAACATGTATAGTTTCAAAAGGAAATGAAGGATCATCAAATACTAAAGGTAATGTGATGGAGATGCTACTGTAATTGAAGATTTTCAGCATGCAAAGTATAGGAGAAAAGCTCAAGATGAAAGAGAAATGGTGGAGATCCTTACCTTAGATCTTGGAGCATAGTATGGAGTAGACACTTTAGAAGATAGCATGCACTGCCATGGTCATATGGCCTCACAAGCATGAAGAGAAAATAGAACGCTAAAGACTGGGACGTGGAGACCTATTTCTCTCTCTTTCTCGCTTTAAGTAATGCTTATAAGTGTATAGAGAAATGATGGTGAGCAAGGGTTTATATAAAGGTGTGGTAGTGTGAGTGAATAAATCTCAGCCCTTGATGCTATTCATTTATTGCACATGAGAGGGCTGTGATCCTAGCCACACATCCATATCTAGACATCAAGATCAATGAATGTGATTGCACAACTTTATCACTCCATAAAACCCAAGATCAAGCCATTTTACCAAATAGTCATTAACCTGTAAAAGGTTTTCTCATATGCCATTTACTCTTTCCATAATTTTCCATCAAATACTTTTGAAAATAATGAAACACCAAAAGGTAGGGGCATGCCCTTATGGTAATTTGGAAACCTCATTTTATATAATACTCAAATTAAGATAATTCCTATAGATAAGCCGATCACAATGTGCCATTTAATGGATTTCACATGGGCTTAGCTAATGTGATTAAACTAGCTAAAAGGGTGGATCGATGTCGAATTTCCATTAAATACGTAGGGTTTAGATCAAAATATCGTGGTTAGCCCTCAACCCTAGGGAAAAACCTAGGCTGAAAATTTCAATCTCTCAAATCTGTAGTGTAAAATCTGATTTTCCTTTTATATCTGATCTGCTCAATCAGTTGATCATGCAAAATGACCCTACAACTGAAACTTGGGCTTGCTCAGATGTGTGGATGAAGAGAAATGAGGAAAAGGATTTCCATCGTCATTTTGTTTCAGAAGTGTCAAATTCGGTGAGTTGTGCTGGACTTGGCGGGCCTGTAAGAAACTCGCCAAGCTCCTAAATAGAGTTGTATATGCCCCTACCGAGTTTTTTTTGTCTCTTTTATTTATTTTTGGTTGGGAGGGTTGGCTGGTGGGTGGGCGGGCGGGCGGGCGGGCGGGTTGGGGGGGGGGGGGGTTGTCGTTGGGGTGGGGGAGATGGTTTCCAGGTGAGGCCAAGTTCGAGTGACTTGGCATCTTTTGTGATCACTGCTATTGATCATGAAAACATGTGATGCTTTAATTTTGTGGGTCCTCTTCTTCCCCTGTACTCTAGTTCGTAAACTATGCATAAAATTATTCCAATGACACTTCCCTTCTGGAATTGATGTGACAAAAAGTTTAAGGGTACTAATGGACAGATATTTGATCATCACAAAGCTTTTTTATCTTGTGGTTCATGGTAATATACCATTGAATTGAAGAAATATTTGTTTTTCTTTATTTATTTTGACAAATTTAGGATTTCTTAGTTGATTCTGATCCTATAATTTCTCACCTTGGTCATTACACCTGCATGTTGAGGTAGCAAATTTAGCATCAATATAATGTTGTAATTCATAATATGCTGACTATAGAGATATAATTCTGGAAAGCATGAGTGAACCATGCAGCGGATTGAATTTCATGATGAGAGCCACTTTAGAGTGGACAAAAGTTCTTGAAGAGTTCAATCTCTGAAAATTTGTTCATATGCATTCTCTGCTTTTCAAAATGGCCATAGTGGTATTCTAGCTTCCTTGTTGAAGCAGATTAAATGTTTGGAGCTGTTATTTTTACAGTTTGCATGCACCATGATCTGAACTGGTCTCATCATGAAGAAGTCACTTTGATGATCTGTAGGTTGAGGAGGCAAGAATTGGCATCTTTGGCTGCCCAATCTGCTGACGAAGTGTTGCGTAAGTTGGAGGAATCTGCTAGAAGCGAACTTCATCATTCTTTTGAATCTGGCCCAGAACCACAAGAACCTTGTTCACCAAAGCTTCCTAAAGAGAGGGAGAAAGTTGTGATTGCTGTTCAAGACAAGGATGGATCAAAACAATTTCGTACGTACAAGGTATGGATTTGATATGTTGCCAGTGTTATCTTCTATTTTGAGGTTGCATTTGAATTGTCTACATTATAACTTCACCCATGTGGTTTTATGAATGTCCTGGCAACTAGCTGATGCACCTGCAATGAATAAAATAGATTGAATTGTTGGGTTCTTCTTGGTTTTACTAATGAGAGAGGATGTCATTGTTTTCTTTCAATAATGCATAGATATTTCTTTAGTTTTGGAAATTATATTAATTTATTTTGCCTTTTGCAACTGGAGTTTACCCATTCATGGTGCTAAGCTTCACAGTATGACCTTATTCTTGTATTCTTATTCTATTGAAATCTTCAAGAAGATATTGTCATAATACAACTTGTTGAGCAGAATTTTTGGCTTTTGGTTAATTGAAACTTTCATTTACATACGAAACTTAACTGATGCATTCTTCCCATCGTACCTGCCCAAAGCCACTTGCTTTGACAAGGTATGCTTTTTATGTGCTGCTATTGTGCTTACGCGTGGAGCTAAATGTCTGTTCACTTTCTACCCCCCACTCATGTTTGGATTCCTGAATACAAGTCATGACATGTACCTTGCATCTGGATCATATCTTTTGAGCTTTAGGCTTTAGTCCAATTTGAGTTGGCAGTCTTTTTCCCCATGCACGCACCACTTAATCCCTTCTGTTGTTATCTACTTCCTATTTGTAATTGAGTTTTTTTTTTTTTCTCTGGCTGCTTGTCCTTCAGGACTGTTTCTCATTCTAGGTCTCTCCTTGATGGATTCTGCGTGGAAAAAGCATGAATTCAAGAAAAAGGTGCACGCTTGTAAAAAGCATATTTATATAAAAGATACTTGACACATGTTATCATGACTGGACTGGCCAAACCTTTGATGGGACTGGTCCTGACAAAACTGTCTGCCATTGAGACTAGTCAGACTTGATTTCTAGAATAAGAAGTAAAAAAACAAAGAAAAAAGGGCAAAAAATTACAAATACAAATTGTGAAAATGGGAAAAGATTTGCCCAACCATGATTAGCTTGTCCAATCGTCCCAACTCTAATCATCATCATTGTTTGAGCCTTATCCCGACTATTTAGGATAGGCTAAATGAATTTTTTTCTTCCATTCTGCTCTATTAAGTGCCATAACCTCAGTCAGACCATAACTCACTATATCTTTTCTCACTACTTCCATCTATGTCCTTTGAGGTATTCTGCTTGTGTTTTTAGAGCCTCCCACTTGAACTGATTCTATCTGGTATTGTTCTAGGTCGACGCTGCACATGACCAGATCATCTAGGTCTAATTTCCCTCGTTTTATTGCCTATTGGAGCTACCCTTAAGTTCCTTCAGATGTATTCATTACTTATTCTATCCTGTCTTGTATTATCACTTATCCATCTCAACATGCGGATCTGACCACCCTTATTCTATGGATATGTTATTTCTTGACTACCCAACGTTCCGTCTCAAAAAGCATGGCCGGTCTTATAGTCGTTCTTTGGAACTTCCCCTTCATTTTCATTGGTATCCGATGATCACATAAGACTCCAAAAGCACATGTCCACTTCGTCCACTACAACTCAAATTCTATGAGTAACATCTTTCTCAATCTCTCATTTCTCAGTTCTTTGGGAGGATATGGATGGACTAGTCCTAGGACTTTTTTGGGAGAGACTTAAATGGTCATGTATTACTACACCCCTTAAAAAAAAAGATCTGATACCAAAAGTACATTAAGAAAGAAATGGCTGAAAAGTGAGAGTCCCTTTAAACGTTAGAAACCCACACATAGACAGGCACAAACATACACACAACACATGGAAAAGGATGTGGTCACCCTAGGGTTGACACTGCAGCTGTCTGTCCTAGGCTCAAAACCCATGCTAGGGGGTTCCTTTGGATCCCAAAATTTGGGCATGACAATCATGCTGTCCTTCCCCTTTCTTTTCCCCTCCTCTTCTCCAAAAAGGAAAAATGAGAATTCACGCCTTAAAAGTGCCTAAAATGATTTTGCCCGAAGATTGAAAACAAAATGTTCCTTTTAATATATTCAAATCTCTGTCCTAAAGAACTCAAAATAGGTATTTTTTTTTAATTGTTCATAAGCAGATGGTGAGACCATCTACAAAGTGAAAATTTGGGGTCAAACAATGCCCCCTTAAGCGTAGATAAATCTGGCATTAAAATGGATGGTTCATATGGCTCATCTTCAATTTACTTTCTTTCTCCTTTAGAAAGCCATTTTCTAAGTTATTGTTTTAAATTATGTTTGATCATATTTGCCTAGTTCTAACAATGTTATTAGGATCAAAGTTACAATTGAATGGGTAAGAGGTTTGGTCCAATCAACAATTGATCAAATCGATTCGACCAAATTTTACAAAAAAGGAAAGAGAAATAGAAATAATAATTTAAAATTAAAAATGCATTAAAAAATTCTTCAAACTTCATTTAGCTGGTCGAAACCGTTTGGTCCATCTTTTGCCTAAATAGGTCAAATGATGGTTTTGACTAGTTTCGACTTAATCAGGGTTTTGCCTTTGACCACACCGGCCAAGGCATTTGACGGCGGTTTGACTGGTTTTTGCCTTTGACCAGACCGGCCATGGCATTTGACGACAGTTTGACTGGTCAAACCACTGGTTCAGTCTGGTTTTGATAACTATGGTTTATAAGTGACATGTGGAAACTGCTAATTTGGGGCAGTTGGGTCTGGGCGACGTTCGCTTAGACCAAATTTGCTCAAATCGACCGATTTCAGTCTAGAGTGATTTTGAGATCGTCAAGATGTTGCCTACCAAAATCAACCG